CCAGCCTGCAAGGTTGGCTGGGGAATTCTGGGAGTTGAAGTCCACCCATCTTAAAGTTCCTGAGGTTGAGAAACACTACACTAAGCTATAGTTTGCCTAACCCTGCTGTACTGAATAAACTATAAATCATGATGTATAAAAGAAAGTGGTTGGGTTCATGCAACCTATCAAGCCCGAACTAACCAAAGCACCTGATGGGTGAATAATGCCCCTGGCATATTTTAGGACAGAACTGGTAATCCTTTGGGGGGGATTCCAAGCTGCTTTGCTGTTTAGACCCTCACTGATGCCAGGCGACAGGAGCAAAGCTGTCTGTTTCCAGATGTAAGTCGGTTTCGATCATGTCTAATGCAGAGGTTTGGGGATAAGCGAAGGCGTTAGATATATATATGTTCAGTCCTCTGGCGTATCCATCTGCTTCTTAAGTACAATCCAATAACGAGGGGGAATCCTGCTGTCATAAAAAGAAAGATGGTGTGCAAATGCAGATAGGTTCCAGAATTCGCCTGCCCAGGTTCCCTGGCATTTTAGATATACGGGTAAGTCACCTTCATGTACAGTTGGGGCCTCTGCTGTAGCTGGACCTGTAGCACAGGGCTCCTGAGCATACCGAGAGTTACCTGTACACCCTTCTGTGTTACTTGCCTAAATCATAATGCCCAGCAAGAGAATTGTAAAATTCTATCTAGCTTTTTGTGATTGTTTTTCATTTGGGGAGAACAAGATACAAGGAAATGAGCCGGCAAATGTCTCGGTCTCTTCGGATGGCTTTCTGTAAGCTTCACTGGAGTTTTATAGATGCAGGATTTAACTTTGCGATCTGTACCTGCCGGGGTTTATTGGAAGCCAATCCTTGTCTCACGTTTTGGGAGTGAATCGGACAACGCGCTTGAATCGCAAGTCCTGTGTTTGGGGATTGTGCTTGTTTTTTCAATGAGGCTTATAAAAAATTAGACCAAGCCTAGATAGCCCTGTTGCTCTAAAAGGCTTGGAGAGTCCTCTGGGGCTTAAGCCAGACGGGTGTTGGGAAATCCTGAATGAACCTCTTCATGTTTTCCAGGCCAGGAAATTTTTAAAAATTAAAAAACGTCAGTGCACTTGGACAAAAAGGGAGTCTTTCACTCCGTGGTCCCATCCTGGCTTCCAGGTTGTTATGAAGGTTGGAGAAAGCCACGTTGCTTGCAAAAAAATCCTGAACAGGGAAAGCCAGCTAAGCACAACACTTTCTTCGGGGCGGGCAGGGCGTTGATGATCAATAAAAGCTGCCCACCCTGGTTCTTAGGATAGGGCTCAGTAACCTGTCTTTGCCCTCAGAGCGAGCATCTCCTAGTTGTAAGGCCAGAGCTGGGAAGGAAAACAGCCATAAAACCTGAACGCCCTTGTGTTCACATAACCTCCCTACATTCCCCTCCATTGGTTCCTAGCTGAAGAAACTGGTTAGTTTTCCACCTTTATGGTGACTCGGGCTTTTTCTGAATGCTTGGGAAAAACCAAACAGTCAGAACTGGATTCTCTTGTGCAAGCATTCCACGGAGCTTCTGCAACTGAAGCGAGCCGCTGTTTCTCGCTCCAGTTTCCCCAAAATGAACCCATCTGTTTTGCTGTGCCCACCTTCCCCCGTTAGCACCGTGGATGTTCTTTTAAGCCTCACAATAGCTGCTTGCACTGCGGTCGTGCTCCATAAAGACAAAGTCTTTGGACACCTTGTGTGAAAAAGGATTACAGTCTCCCTGTTCTTCTCTGTAAGTGTCAGGACAGAAGTTCCTGATCATTTTTGAAAATGGTCTGGAAAAGATCAGTTTGGCTTGAGCCTTTGGAAATTACCATTAATGATGTCCATGGAATAACTTTGTTAAGATGGTGAATGCTTCTTGCTCAATTTCTCACATGCCCCCTTTTTTTTTCTGGACTGATGTAAATGTGTTTTCAGGGCTACAAAGATCAGCTCCAAAAAGCTTAGATTTTCTCCCCCTCAATCGAACAATGTACAATCCATGACAGTAATGTTTGTATTGCTTTCTCTTCAAAAAAGGAGACGACCCAACAAAAAAAACACGAGATGTTTGTGATGTTTGTGAATGTTGGTCTTTTAGAATTTATTTCCATACATAATTTTTCTTAAAAGATGTTTAATATTAATTCGTATAATAAACTCATGTTGTACTCTCTTAATCTTTCCGCTTTGCGAGCCTCTGCTGTGGTTTGTGGCCAGCGAATTGAATGCCAATAAAGCTTATGGGTCAAAGGTAGATTTACAAGAAAAAGGCTTAGTGAGACTTGCTGAATTTAGGATGGACAGACCTTATAAATTAAGCACACATTAAAGAAAAATATTTTGTAGGTAGCAATTGGAATCCTGGTCCCTTAAAACTAACAGGCTGGATCAGCAGCCTTTCCCAATTCCTTCACTTGTTCACACACTACAATTCCCAACATTCCCAGCCAGTGGAGGGGCCTGATGGGAAATATGAGGGTTATAGGCCCAGCATATTTTGGGGCAACCCCAATTTGGGGAAGGCTGATCAAAGAGAATGGCAGATTTCATTATCTTCTGTGATCTATTTAATTTAACCTACTTCCTATTAATTTATCGATGCTTCACAGAATGACCTGATTCACACATCATGCAATGCTATAGTTTGCTCAATTGTTATTTTCTTTTAATAAATCAGGTTTGGCTGGGTTTGCACAACATGTTACACCAAAATCAAATAAGAAATATTATGGCTTAGGAATCAGCCGTAGAGTAGATTCCTTCCTAACTCCATTTTAGCTGATGAAGGAAACTCAAAAGCACACTATTTAGCTTAATAAGGATATTATTAGCTTGATAAATATACTGCTTTCTGTCCCCACCCCCCCAGCTACTATGCTGCTTTTGGTGTTTATCCTAAGTGTTTATCCTAAGGAAGTTTCTTTGTGTTTAATGGGGCCTTATCCCTTTCACTAAACAGGTTGGGCTCTGTTGGGTTTATGTTTACAGGTAATCCTCAGTTAACGACAGCAAATGGGACTGGAATTTCTGTCGCTAAGCAATGCGGTCATAAAGCACGATGTCATATGACTGCGCCACTTAGTGATGGCACTTCCGTTGCCGTTGTTAAGCGAATCCCACGCCATCATTAAGCGAGGACATCATGTGGTCACCATTTGCGACTTCCTGCCGGCTTCCCCATTGACTTTGCTTGTCAGAAGCTGGCCATGAAGGTTGCAAATGGCAACCATGTGACCATGGGATGCTGTGACATCATAATCATGAGCCGGGCACTGAATGCCCAGATCACCATCACATGACTGCAGGGATGCTGTGACAACCAGAACTTAAAAGTCCAGTTGTAAGTACCACTCATTCAGCACTGTTGCAAGTTTGAATGGTTGCTGAACGAGTGGTCGTTAAGCAAGGACTACTTGTATTTATTACCAAATTTGCACCCACAGCCTGTGGCAGCGCACCACACCTATTCAAGCACTACAGACGTCAATTTAAAACAATAAAAACAAGTGACATATCACAATAAAAGCATATACAACCTGATTGGAAGATAAAGTGTCCTTTAAGAACAGAAGACTAATTAATTGAGCAGGGGTTTAAAGTTTCTTCTGAAAGCAAAGAAGGTGAAGATTGTACTTTAGTGGGGAAAGAGGACCACAGAATGGGTATCACCACCAAGAAGGCCCTTTAATCTGGCCTCCTCTCTGGATGGAGAGGCAATTTGGTGTAGTGGTTAAGGCCCCAGGCTAGAAACCAGGAGACTGAGTTCCAGTCCTGCCTTAGTCCAAAGCAGTTGGGTGACCCTGGGCCAGTCATTCTCCCTCAGCCCTGGGAAGAAGGCAAGGGCCAACCACTTCCAAAAATCTTGCCAAGGAAACTACAAGGACTAGTTCAGGCAGTTACCAGAAGTCAAGACTGACTCGAAGGCACACACCCACACT